AGAATGTTTGTACTGTGTATTCTGGTAGTGTGAGTTATGAGAATGTTTGTAGTGAGTATTCTGGTAGTGTGAGTTGTGAGAATGTTTTTACTGTGTATTCTTGTAGTGTGAGTTGTGAGAATGTTTGTAGTGGGTATTCTGGTAGAGTGAGTTGTGAGAATGTTTGTAGTGAGTATTCTGGTAGAGTGAGTAGTGAAAATGTTCGTAGTGGGTATTCTGGTAGTGTGAGTTGTGAGAATGTTTGTAGTGAGTGTTCTGGTAGTGTGAGTTGTGAGAATGTTTGTAGTGAGTGTTCTGGTAGTGTGAGTTGTGAGAATGTTTGTAGTGAGTATTCTGGTAGTGTGAGTTGAGAGAATGTTTGTAGTGTGTATTCTGGTAGTGTGAGTTGTGAGAATGTTTGTAGTGAGTGTTCTGGTAGTGTGAGTTGTGAGAATGTTTGTAGTGAGTATTTTAGTAGTGTGAGTTGTGAGAATGTTTGTTCTGTGTATTCTGGTAGTGTGAGTTGTGAGAATGTTTGTAGCGAGTATTCTGGTAATGTGAGTTGTGAGAATGTTTGTAGTGAGTATTCTGGTAGTGTGAGTTGTGAGAATGTTTGTAGTGGATATTCAAGTAGTGTGAGTTGTGAGAATGTTTGTAGTGAGTATTCTGGTAGTGTGAGTTGTGAGAATGTTTGTAGTGTGTATTCTGGTAGTGTGAATTGTGAGAATGTTTGTACTATGTATTCTGGTAGTGTGAGTTGTGAGAATGTTTGTTCTGTGTATTCTGGTAGTGTGAGTTGTGAGAATGTTTGTAGTGAGTATTCTGGTAATGTGAGTTGTGAGAATGTTTGTACTGTGTATTCTGGTAGTGTGAGTGTTGAGAATGTTTGTACTGTGTATTCTGGTAGTGTGAGTTGTGAGAATGTTTGTTTGGGTATTCTGGTAGTGTGAGTTGTGAGAATGTTTGTAGTGAGTGTTCTGGTAGTGTGAGTTGTGAGAATGTTTGTGAGTAGTGAGTGTTTGTAGTGTATTCTGGTAGTGTGAGTTGTGAGAATGTTTGTAGTTCTGGTAGTGTGAGTTGTGAGAATGTTTGTAGTGAGTATTCTGGTAGTGTGAGTTGAGAGAATGTTTGTAGTGTGTATTCTGGTAGTGTGAGTTGTGAGAATGTTTGTAGTGTGAGTGTTGTTTGTAGTGGTAGTGTGTGAGTTGTGAGAATGTTTGTAGTGAGTTTTCTGGTAGTGTGAGTTGTGAGAATGTTTGTAGTGAGTATTCTGGTAGTGTGAGTTGTGAGAATGTTTGTAGTGTGTATTCTGGTAGTGTGAATTGTGAGAATGTTTGTAGTGTGTATTCTGGTAGTGTGAATTGTGAGAATGTTTGTAGTGAGTATTCTGGTAGTGTGAGTTGTGAGAATGTTTATACTGTGTATTCTGGTAATGTGAGTTGTGAGAATGTTTGTAATGAGTATTCTAGTAGTGTGAGTTGTGAGAATGTTTGTACTGTGTATTCTGGTAGTGTGAGTTGTGAGAATGTTTGTTTGTGTATTCTGGTAGTGTGAGTTGTGAGAATGTTTGTAGTGAGTGTTCTGGTAGTGTGAGTTGTGAGAATGTTTGTAGTGAGTGTTCTAGTAGTGTGAGTTGTGAGAATGTTTGTAGTGGGAATTCTGGTAGTGAGAGTTGTGAGAATGTTTGTACTGTGTATTCTGGTAGTGTGAGTTATGAGAATGTTTGTAGTGAGTATTCTGGTAGTGTGAGTTGTGAGAATGTTTTTACTGTGTATTCTTGTAGTGTGAGTTGTGAGAATGTTTGTAGTGGGTATTCTGGTAGAGTGAGTTGTGAGAATGTTTGTAGTGAGTATTCTGGTAGAGTGAGTAGTGAAAATGTTTGTAGTGAGTATTCTGGTAGTGTGAGTTGTGAGAATGTTTGTAGTGAGTATTCTGGTAGTGTGAGTTGTGAGAATGTTTTTACTGTGTATTCTTGTAGTGTGAGTTGTGAGAATGTTTGTAGTGAGTGTTCTGGTAGTGTGAGTTGTGAGAATGTTTGTAGTGAGTATTCTTGTAGTGTGAGTTGTGAGAATGTTTGTAGTGAGTATTCTGGTAGTGTGAGTTGTGAGTTTGTTTGTAGTGAGTATTCTAGTTGTGAGATTTATTAAAACGTTACTTATTTTGGTAGTGTGAGAAGTGAACATATTTGTAGTAGGCATTCCTGAAATTTCCAATGTGTTTGTAATTGTAAAAGATCTTATTTCTCTTACAGACTTCCTGTTGATTTATTATTGAGCTTGGCCTCTAGTTCAATATTTCTATGATATCAAGTTTAATGTCCATTTTAAGGCCTTTTAAGATCACAAAAAATAATCAGGAACCCTCTGACATGAATGCTGCATAAATTTATATACATCACACTGGCAGTAAGTGATTGCATCATACATGCACATATAATTTAGTCATTATTTCTGTGAGGGTCACAAAAATCGGCAGACAGAATCCAGCCGCTTCCTAAATAGACTGGCAATGAAAGACTCGTGGGATTGGATCCCCAAGAGAAGAAATCTCTTTCAAGAAATTATTTCACTGTGAGAAAGAAAGAAAACATGACATTTTTGCTTCCTTTTCTAAAATTCTTGTAGCTGTCTGCTTTTAAAAACCTAGATGCTAAATTCAGTTACAATAACATAATTAAGCTACTTAATTGTACTATGTTTTTTTCTCACTGTCTGACTTATCTACTACATGTAGATTAAAGAATGAAGTGACTGAAACTGCTGTTTACACAAAATATAAATTAGGCTTCAGATATGGGACATAACAAAACCTGGCCTTATGTAGATAGAAGACTTTGTTCTTTTTCCTTTAACATATTTCTGTCTATTTATATTATATATTTTAGACTTTATAAAACTACAGAGATCCATGTGTTCAGTGAACCTACAATAGATCATCTTCATTTGCCTTTTATATCATCATCATCAGATGGTAGGTTATTCAAATTTCCCTGTACTGGATTTTTACAATGAAGTTTGTTATTGCTATTTCTTGAGCAGTACTAAATTGATCTCTCAAATTTTATATGTAGGTTCCCTTACATCCTTGGTTGTGTCCATTTGATTTTCAGACTGATAAGAAAAACAAAATTGACTGACAGGCGAGCATCTTGGATTCGGCAGTTAAAAGATTATTATTGCTATTTCTGAAAAAGAAGGATTGAAAATTACTATCATTAAGAGCAAAAACAGAGGTGAGGAGAAAAAGAAGGGAAAAGATACAACTTTTAAGGAACAAATAAAGATCAAACAAAAGTGGGCACCAAGATCACTGTGGGATCTCTTGTTTTACATAGTCCTAATTTTGAAGTTGTTTAATTTTGGTTTGTTTCCATTTTTACCTTACCAATCAATGCTAAAGACAGCAGGCTGTGTGTCCCAGTAATGATGAAAGACCATTGTTCATGTTATTTAAAAACTGTAATCAACTTTTGAAACATTTTGATGTTAACAATCTTGCAGGTGTCAAAAGCAATTAAGGATGAACTATTGAACTACAAAATATCATCAACAGTAAAACCTTACTTTTTATAGTGATTAAGATAATCCTTGTTTCACATCACAGCAGGCTGTACCAAGTATTTGTGATAAAAACAAATTGGTAAAAATTCATGAAATATTTTGGACTCTTGTTCCACAGCTTTCACTTTTATTATTCTCATAAATCTACATGACATTCCATACTTTTTCAATATAATATGACTACCCATTGTTCATGTTAAGCTTATTACAACTGATTTTTTTATAACCTGTACAATACTCTACATTGTCTTCCACTTGTAAAGGCTATATCAATTATCCCTAGTTCCATGTTTAGAAACTCTTTATTCTGATCAAGACAAGAGTATCAGTGAAACTGATGAATGCTCGCGACAATTACTTTATTGGGCCCAATTTTTTAAACAAACGACAATAACTCTGTACTGAAGGGTTGTGCACCCTGACTTTGCTATACTGCTCTTTGCTTTTGAATGACTGATGTGTACATCATTTTTAAATACAGGCAAAGTAAGGCTCCGCACACAAAATTGTAGCAAATGGCAATAACTCTGTAATAAAGGGGTTGTGGACCCTAATATTAGTATACTGCACATTGTCTGCATATGTCAGTCTATACACCAAATTTCATTATCCCAGTTTAAATGCAAGGACGGTTATGCTCTGCACATCTTAGAAAAGATCATTAACTCTGAAATTGAGGTGTCGAGGACCCTAAATTTGGTACACTGAACATCCCTTTAGTATGACCAATGTATACTTTCATGATCCTTGCTTAACTGTCAGAAAACTTAAGCTCCAAACATGAAAGGATGGAAAGAAAGATGGACTAACAAACAGACTGATGGAAGGATGGACAAGTTTGTGGTTATATGCCTCCCACCAAATACGAAGGACAGATATTTTGTAATGACTGTGTCGGCTGTAAAATACCACTGCTTCATGCCATTTTAAGGGTTTAATCTACATTTCCCAAGTTGATGCAGCAGATATTGCCATACCAGCCTTCGCCACAATATGAGCGAAATGAACTATTTCTGACATTTTCATGTTCGTTGAATTTGATATAAATATTTATGTCTATGCTGTAGACTGGCAATGAGACACCATTATGGACAGAATCAAGTGGGGTTTCAAACTCCAATTCAAAGCCTATAAAAAAATTTCTTGAAGATTTTCAGATTATTAAACAAATAAGGGTTAAGTGACTTCTGTGTTGATAGTCATTCATAAATTCAAGAGCTGACTAAACGATAGTTTTAAAAAAAGTAATTTGAGCTATCAAATTTTTTTTTATTTTACAAGCATCTCCTTTATTGTAAAGGTGTTTATTTCCATACATTTATGAAGCACAGCATTAAAATTCTAAACATGCATTTGTGGTCACACAGGATAAAAACACAAATTTACAGCTGTAAACAGTAGATATGTCAAGCAGTTTTATTGTGTCATGACACTCTAAAGTTGTGAGTCAATTTTACTTACCTTTGTCGAGGTAGAATCTTTGTCTACAGTGAAAAATCCTACACGTTCAAACTGGAATCTGTCGTAAAGTTTAGCATTTTTCACCGAAACATCCACGTAAGCATTAGGTATGACCTGCATAGAATTCTGCAAAACAACGAAAAAAGCATATAAATTGGATATAACATTTGAATGTGCAGCCTTCTAAATTATCATCTCTTCACAGATGGCAGTAATATATAGGTAAAATCAATGCAACAAGGTAGAAATCATTTAGATATCTGCCCATGTGTGACAGAGTTATCTCCCTTTAGAGAAAACAATACCTGCCTTCTGCTGATATGCATGATAATTATTTTACTACAGGCATAATATAAATTGTGTTTAAAAAAAAACTTTGTGACACTACCTTGTTAACATCTGTTACAAATCCACCAGGTACAACGTTCTTATCCTCTGGATTTTTATGATTAAATCTGCAAAGAGAATTTCTACAGTAAAGAATTGGTTACTCACATGATGGAAATAAGATATAAACAAACCAGCGATAGACAGTATTAGGAGCTGCTACCCTTCCCAGGTATTTTTTGTTTATTTTTGAAAAGATAATTTAATGATGCAATAATTGACATGACATCATCATACAGGTAACGTTCTGAAACGTTTTATCAGCAAAAACATCAAGTGCAAATAGCTTTATACATTTTCATTGAATATTGATTCAAGGGAAATAACTACTTGACATACTGATAAATATGAAATAGATCATTCATGTTCTATGGAGTTATATAGCTGTGTGATAAAGTTCAATCAATTAGTTGATGTATTTATGTGCAGTTAAGAGTACTATTCACTTTTGTGTCTTTTGTACTATAGGGACTAGGTAGATTCTGTTGATGGACTTCAGTCCCTAAGCTTTGCTGAAAACCTGCATGCCATGATTAAATTTTAAAAATATTTTAATTGATGATCTTAAAAAACCATGCAGAATTAAAACTCCAGTAATTCACTAAATCACAGTGTTAGAGCTCCTCCTCATTTACATGGTAACATTTGATCAGGACAATTTTGATTTTCCCTTTTTTATTGACATTATGAATATCCATGTCAGGTCATCACCGACACTATCACGGCCTGGATTATGAAATAAGATAAGATGAAATTAATCGTGAAAACACTCTAAAAGTGGATATAAAGGGATAATACAAGACTCTATGAAAACCCTGTTCTTGTTTTTATCCCCCCTAAAACAAGCATGAGTTAATATCGTCAACAACACAAATTGTCAGCCCAACTGCCATTGCTCTGTCAGAGAAGTGGTTTAACTTGCAAGTAGGTATGCCAGATCTACATTATCCGTAGGGCTCATATAACAGCTTTTCCTTTTACAGCAAATCCTATTTTGATTATGTCTTTCTATTTCTTCATTAATTCAAACCTTTGAATCACCACAGGAGGGGATGGGCATAGGGGGTGGGGTGTTGGTGCATATATAAAAATTCAATAAAATTATCTCAGTTGTAAAAGCCGTCACTATGGATAGTACTTACAGAATCTCATACAACCGCACTTCACAAACCAGAGGTTCACACACCCAGTGTATAAAACCTTTGGGCTTGTCGGATTCTGTTGATGGTTTACAGGTAGCCAACACCTCACAAACATTTCCATCATCATCCTGCGATTTTGAAAAATAAATCTTAAATCATGGACTATGACACCTACTTCAGTAGATAAACCTCGAATCTAGCCTTTCTATATCACAGAACCATACCTCAAGTTATCATTTAAATTGACCTTTAACTGGTCTCTAGAAATGTATTCCAGTAATAAACACTGGCACAAAATGATACTTCTCACGCCTTATACATTATCTGTCTATAGTTACAGAAATTCTGGGTGAATTTTACCTTTATCACTTTTTCCACAGCTATGACAAAACCCGCATGGCGGAGTCCAACTGGCTGGTCAGTAGAAAATCTTTTGTAGTTTTTGTCAGCTTTCTGAAATGGTACAAGTACTCCAACTAAAGACATTTATTATCTCTCTGTATATCAAAGCCTATCTTTCTGTATTGTCACAAATCATCTCTCTGAATTTTTCTGTATTATCATAAATCATCTCTCTGAATTTGTCTGTATTATCATAAATCATCTTTCTGAATTTGTCTGTCTATATTATCACAGACATCTGTCTACGGAAGTTATTACAACCTATCTCTCTAATTTTGTCTATCTTTATTTCATAGTCTACATTAATAAAATCTCCCTCTTTGAATTTGCTCTTTGCTTCTTCTCTGAACTGATCTCTCTATATTAAACAGCCTACCTCTCTGAAATCATCCCTTTCTATAAACACTGTGGCCCCAAAAGGAACCTTGTGCGAGCCCTTCTCTTCATTTGCTGGAAAGTTGGGTACACTAATTGCCTTATGAGCATCACCAAAGTTAGTTATTGTCACCTTGAGGGGGTCTAATACTGCCATTGCTCTATCAAAAGAAAATCAACAATATGTAACATTCAGCAGGAATTTTACTACTATGTAATATTAAACAGACAGAGCCTATTTACTTGTCATTCTGCCGTGTAAATTTTACCCACGTGTGACTTATTTCATACATATCAAAATACACATCAGAAATCTGATGGTTCACTGATTTCGAAAATAACACCTGTACATACAGTTTGCCTCTTAAAATCGTGAAATTATCCAACCATAGAAATAACCACATTTACAGTACTATGTATTACAATGATTTTGGAATATATCATGAAACAACTAAGATTTCAGGATGAAATTTGTTTGTAAGATATGAATGTCCATACTCCTAAGTAAACACAATGGCAAGACTTGGGTAACTCTGTAAACCAACCATCAATCCCAATAAATTGGTGGGCACAGTGTCGGAAACAGCAGCATGGGATTATCAAAATAAAATGGAAAACAAAATCAACACTATGCACATCGAAACCTTCAGAAAATGGGTTTAGGGGGTCAAAGCAATATTCCCTGTGATCAATCTACAATTTATTTTCATGAGTCCTTTTCTACATCATTGCTAAAAAAAATGGGGCAAAGCCACAATTGGCCGGGTTGCGGGATGAGTGCAATGTTATATGGTATTTATAAGACAGTTAAGGGTGTTTCATTTGTTGAGTATGTAGAATATTTGAAGAAAGAAGTTGCAGTCATTTCGGATTCGGAAATGTTAAAAAAATAGACAATGGACATCTAGGGCCCCAAGGTGATTTATATGTGGAATTTCGGAAAGATTCTTGTAGTAGTTTCTGAGAAACTGTGATAACAAGAAAAGTTTCAGAAAATAACTAAGTTCCAAAGCCCTGAAAATCCAGAAAAATGTCTGGAATGATTCCATAATAGGAGGTGCACATCTTCAACATATATATAAACATCCTACAAAGTTTCAAGCTTCTATGTCAAAATCTCTAGGAGGGGTTGATTCTACAATTCTACAAAACTGGTACCAATTTTCCCCGCCCGCCCGTCCAGCCGCCTACCCACCCGACATTCACCATACTATAACCCGGATTTGCACTATGTGCAACCCCGCCAAAAATGGATCCCCCAATGAAAAATTGAAGTATTTCCAGAAATTCTAGAAGTCCCATCTTTCTATGAGTACAGGACTCGAGACTTGCACATAGATTTATCACTGCATTTCACAAGGCCCCCATATTATACTGACAGCAAGGTATATGGGGAGAAGGGTTGGGATGGAGGGGTGTGGAACAGGGGGCAGTATGGCAGTAATAATCATAGTAGCAAGAACTTACATGAAGCATGTGTAAGTGATATAATGGATCTAACCAGATATCTCTTTATTCAAATGACAACAAATGATGTATAGTAAGGTGTGATACAGCAGTCAGAGGTAAAATCGGGTGAAATGGACCTTGAACGCTTTCTTACCTTGGGGCCGTCACATTCAGCACCTCCCTGACACAGGCATCCAACATGGATGGATGAAGAACAGTTTGAGACATTGTTACTCCTACCTGTAACATACAACAATTATTGCAATTTTCTCATCAACAGAAGTCTTAAACATAATATTTGTTTAAACAGAGTGGCCTTGTGGGTAATGTAATAATGTCACCCCTCCTCAATATAATGACCTTGTGAGTAATGTAATAATGTCACCCCTCCTCATATAGTGACCTTGTGGGTAATGTAATAATGTCACCCCTCCTCATATAGTGACCTTGTGAGTAATGTAATAATGTCACCCCTCCTCAATATAGTGACCTTGTGAGTAATGTAATGACCTCCACCAACTCTTATGAATGCAAGTTGCCAATCCTCGATACTCCAGGGGTTATGATCACTTTCCTTCTCTGCAACCCCCTGAACATGTCATGGCAAAATTGAAGGTTCCATGGAAGATACCTTGTGGACAAGACGGAAAGACTAGTTTGATCCTCTGAGGTCACATAACTGTATATTGTAATAGCTTTGAAGTTGGGTGTCGCTCCTTTGTAATCTTCAAAAAAGAGCATATCAGGCTTGGATTGGTCTTTTTTTTTCTCCTGGAACCAATCAAATTACTTCGCTTGTTCTTTTAATCTTGACATGACATGTTTGAGGGGTGCAGAGAGCAAAAGTGATTGTAACCTCTGGAGTATCGAGGTTACAAATTTTCATACAAGAGGCTCAGAGGGCCTGTATCGCTCACTGGATCTTTATGACCAACATTACTATATCTGTGCATATGATCCACGTTTAACACATTTGACCACTGTGACCTTGACTATGGGTCAAGGTCATTTCTTTTACTTTCTTGGACTTCATAAAAGGAACATACTGGCCAAATATAATGATTCTAGGCTTTTCGATATTTCAGAAGAAACTGTTTAAAACATCTTAACACATTAGACCTCAGTGACCTTGAATATGGGTCAAGGTTATTTTTTCCCGCAAACTTTGTTGGGCTTCATGAAAGGAACTATTCAGCCAAATATAATGATTCTATGACTTCAAATATTTTGGAAGAAGTCGTTGAAAGATTTTAACACATTTGACCTCTGTGACCTTGAATATGGGTCAAGGTTATTTTTTCCCGCAAACTTTGTTGGGCTTCATGAAAGGAACTATTCAGCCAAATATAATGATTCCATGACTTCAAATATTTTGGAAGAAGTCGTTGAAAGGTTTTAACACATTTGACCTCAGTGACCTTGAATATGGGTCAAAGTAATTTCTTTTTGTAAACTTAGTTGAGCTTCATCAAAGGAACATTCCAGCCATATATAATGATTCTAGGCCTTCAAGTATTTTGGAAGAAGTCGTTGAAAGATTTTAACACATTTGACCTCAGTGACCTTGAATATGGGTCAAGGTTATTTCTTTTTGCAAACTTTGTTTGGCTTCATCAAAGGAACCTTCCAGCCAAATATAAAGATTCTAGGCCTTCTGGTTGACGGATGCCAGATGGACGCCAGACGGCGACGGACGCCGTACTATGGCATAAGCTCACTTAGCCCTTTGGGCCAGGTGAGCTAATAAAAACAATTTGATACAATCCAGAATAATCATTAGGCACCATATCACTTCTTAAAAGAAAATTGTTCCAGACTATTAAGTTTAATAGTATTAAACTTTTCCCCTTAAACTTTCTGAAAGTTTCAGCAAGGACTGCTATTAACACATGTATTCCTGATCTCCTCAGTAAAACCATACCTTAGCACAGAAGTAGTTGATAGCCTCAGGTGGGAACCCTCTCCTCCTCAAGGCAGTCAGTGTAAAAAGGCGAGGGTCATCCCAATCTCTGTACAATAATTTTAATATTCATTCATTATGTTGGAATAAATACATGAAGAAACTTGTGTCTCTACATACAGAATGTTATAGAGAGTTAGTCATATACAGTAATTTTAACAGTAAATATAGTGAAGTTGTTGATTTATTATTGAACACATTGGAGAAAGCATCATATGCTTACCATGAATGATTGTAAGTAAGAAATGTCCGTAAAAGTCCAGACAGAAATTACACATGAATGGTTGAAATGAAAATTATGAAACATTTTCAAACCTAAAAGGTTGTCATCTTTACCTGACAAAGCCTTCTGTGATGAGTTTTCCGATTTTCCGTTTTGAAACAACAGTATAGTTGAGGTTGAGTCGACCATACTCCCACTGTACAGGACAGTATGTGTCCACCATGTTACACAGCCAGTAATATGATGACCGTCTAAAATAAAAATTTACATGTAAAAGTAAGAATTATTTCCCTTTGTATACTGAACTTAAGGACATGAAATAAAGCAAGAAAGGGAGATAATTATTCATATCCTCAGGCCTGGCCTTGTCAAGGTAGTAACTCTTACAACACAGTTTTTATCATAAGATTGAAAACAAAAGTGCAACAATGTAAAACTCAATAATATACAGTGTTAGCTAGATATCAGCAACATTCAATTAATTTGTAAGTTTTGATAACTTAACTTGAGATTTGGTATACCAACCTTGACTGGAACTCCTTGGTGCACAGTGAATGTGTAATGTTCTCCAAGGAATCACACAAGCAATGTGTAAAATCATATGTAGGGTAGATACACCTGTAAATATACACCACATAGTATCTATGTACACCTGTAAATATTCAACACATAGTAACTATATATACCTATAAATATACACCACGTAGTAGCTATGTACACCTGTAAATATACACCACATAGTAACTATATATACCTGTAAATATACACCACATAGTATCTATGTACACCTGTAAATATACACCACATAGTAACTATATATACCTGTAAATATACACCACATAGTAACTATATATACCTGTAAATATACACCACATAGTATCTATGTACACCTGTAAATATACACCACATAGTAACTATATATACCTGTAAATATACACCACATAGTAACTATGTGCACCTGTAAATATACACCACATAGTAACTATGTACACCTGTAAATATACACCACATAGTAACTATATATACCTGTAAATATACACCACATAGTAACAATATATATATATATATATATATATACACCACAGCACGATATACATTACATCTACTGTCCTTTACTTGTTCCTATGTAGAACTATGCACTGTAAGGTGTATTTATAGCAATAGTGACCTTTAACCTTGTATCTAGTACAATAAAGTTATCTAACACTTTGACATGTTACTTTTAATGTTTGCAGGAGCTTTGACAACATATCACAAAAGAGAAAATGGTGGATGACACACATATATATGGATGTTTATAATGCTATATAGAACTGCCTAGATCCTAGCAGGTCATAAACATTTTCTTTCATGGAATAAAAATTATTATAATTCAACCATTTGAATGATTGAGAATGACAAAGTCATCTTCATCAGAAACATGACCAATGTGAAGCATACTAGCATTGACACAAGTGGTGTACGAGATCGTAAGGAAATGATCAGTACTTTATTCCAATGATCTAAAATCCTTAACTTTTGAACCTTCAATTGTTCTGTTTTTAGCTTGTTTATCAATGCAATATATGTGTACAAGAGCAGAGCTTGTAAAGATTGTATAAAGGATGTTTACCACTTGTCTCCAGTTCTATGATGAGGCGTGAATTTAATCCTGTATGCCACAGGGTCTTTCTTTCCCTCTTCTAATATGTGCTTCATTCTCAGAGTTGCTTGCCCTTCTCCAATTTTACCAGCCTTCATGTCCTGTGTAAGAGACAGGCATATACGTTCAGATATGTTAAGTTATAGATACACCAGCTTCAGAAAGAAATATACAATGTCCTCATTATATTTCAGTTATTAAGATCAACTGATAATTACCCACCTCAAAAAGCTGTAGGGATTCCTCCTTGGGTCTATCTCTCCAAGGAGAGTCCGGAGGGTTGAACCCCTTAATATCCTCCGACTTCATGTGACACACATAGGCAAACCCTTTCTTGATGAGAACAACAGCAAAGTCATACAACTCTTGGAAGTAGTCGGAGGCATGCGTCACCTTGAAGGGCTGATATCCTGTCAACAATCAGTGAATTAATAACATTTCACCAAGGCGTAAATTGAACAATTGAACTTTGACCTCAAGTCATATAAAAACAATATCAAAATGTGAAGATCTTCTCTTTGCATATGAATTCAATACAAAAAAATGTACATCACAGCACATACTGATCAAACTGTGGGACATATAGGAAATCAATAAAACCCTGATGGTAAAAAATTCTGTACATGTTTCAGTTCTTTTGATGATTCATTTAAATGTAGCCAAGCATGTTTATTGTGATGTTGATAAATACTCCATTGTTTTCCTTCAATACCACACAAAAACACAATACCTTAATGATATGACTGTATGTCACAGCAACTGTTAAATATTCAGAATTCGACCCTTTTCGTTTCAACCATCAATATTATACTAGTTCTGAGATTTAAATGACTTCAGATGTCTTTTTAATACTTACTTACTAAGGATGTTTGAAGCCTTCAAGGGATGTGAATTACTGGTAAGATTGTAAGTATGGATGTTTTGTTGTTATAATTTATACCACATATCTCAGCCTATCACATCACTTCTTTCCTTCAATGGTTGAAGGATAACTAAACTTTATCATGAGAGAAGAGCCAAGAAGTCAAAATTGTTAGTATTTTGGTCCTAATCTGTTGTTTTCATTCACACAGAGTAGAAAAGTTTCTGTATGAAATGACACTCTATAAAAATGACTGAGAAATTTTCTTATACTTCTTATAAATGTTGATTTTTTATAGCTTTGTAATATCTGACCAAAAACTCACCTAGCCACTGAACCATATCCAAAATGGCTGTGAAGAATTTCTCCTCTTCCTTCTCGGGATTTGTGTCATCATATCGCAAATATGTATTACCACCCATGGCCTGTTAAAAGACAGGGCAGATTTTCTTGCATGCAATTTTCATCTTTTCTTTTAATCCTAACAGATAAACATGTCTTTAAGGGTGAAAGTATTTATTGAACTCATATTTGACAATTTCATGAGCAAACATAAAAATGGGTTTAAGTTGATATGTAACCATTACCATGATGTTGGGTTTTTTTCCTTTAAGTTGAAGAAAAACATATTTTCTTTTTTAAAGTGTACCCACAAATAAAAAAAAACCATTAGAGTATTATTATCTATGATTCAAAATCACAAGGGCGGAAAACTGCATCAAAATTGGCCATGGCCCAATATCGAGATATTGATGTGTTAAGTGTACAATTTTCATGTATGCCAAAGGGGGCCCTATCAGCTATGAAGTCACAAGTTCAACAACTGGTAGCAGCCGCCATGGAACAAATAGGCAAAATCAATTAAAGCCATGCTATGCAACGTTAGATTGCAAATGAATATTTGATAGTTTTAAAGAATTAGATAATTCTGACGACAACATTTTGTAGACGGTAAACAGCCATATGAAATTTGCAAGAAGAGACGAATTTAAACATATTTATTGTAAAACTTAGATCAAGGCACATGATGTTACAACTTTTCACCTTCACACAATATATATCTACATAAGGAAAACAATTACTTTCATGGAAACATGCATATATCTACAATAATTTTTACTATCAAAACCAAAATATGTTACTATATTTAATGAAGGACTGCACATGACTGAAGATATGTGAATTAATCTAAGGTGTACCGTATAATGTCGAGGCATAATGAGGATTTCCAAACAAAACTGTATCCAAACTGAATACAACTTTTGAAGTATAAATGTGGACAAACTCCATATCAAAATATTCCTTTAATTGGTATAAAGATGACATGATTAAAAGTAAAACCAAATAGATGACTTAGTGGTAACAAAGACTGGTAGTGTACAAGTTTCTGAGCACTGATGAGGAAATTAACATATTTCATGCTAGAATTTCTAAATTACAATAACATATTGTGTTACTACTAAAAATTATCATAATATGACTTCAGCGATAGCATCTTGTTTTTGTTGAATGGTAAGATATATGACATATTCTTTGGACGGCAATTCTAATAAACGAGATGCTACATTATATCACAGACTTAGATAAGATATTTCCGTAATTATACTATATAAAGGAATTACAAGATTCCATTCTTTCTCCTTATACATTTACATGCAATATACACTGGTTATGATTTAGCATTTTAGTTCATGAATGAAATCATCTTGTTCCATTCCCTAAGTCTGCTTAGGTGTGAAATAGGTGTACAGGTAAATAACACTTTATCCACTTGTGTCACCTGTTGTTATGACAAAAGGCCCAATACACACCTTTATACCTGTGTCATGGTATGAGATCAAAGGGATGAGACCAGGCAGGTAAGGGGTTACATTTTATTTTATACCATGAAGTATTTTATAGTTAGTGGTATTTTATATTTAAAGATATGTTAGTATTCTACTTTCTAGTAGAGATAAACTATCAGGCTAATCCAAGTCACCTGGGCACAAAAACATTAAATATTGAGTAAAAGTAGCCTTAGCTTACCTTGGCAAATCCGAAGTTGAAGTTGATTGCTTTAGCATGTCCTATATGGAGAATACCATTTGGCTCTGGTGGAAATCTTGAATGAACCTTCATCAGAAAATGGATCAATGTTAATTCAGTTTTCAACATCGGATAAAATAGATTTCAGTACCTGATGTACACAATCTTTACATTTCAAAATTGGTAAAGCATGACCTTTAACCCTTTACTAAGACGGTGGACCACCAATGTTTACTCAAGCATAGCACATGATAATCTGATGTGGATATGAACTACATATATTGAGAAGTTCCATCCACGCCTTGTATACAAACTTTTTATTTCCGAAGAGGTCAAATGTGCTTTTGACCTTTAGACTTAGCCAATGACCAACAAAATCTAATTTGCTATAGAACTTGACAGTTTAGTGTTGCAGAGTCAATATGAACTAAATCTGGAAAGGTGTGCTTGAGATATTTTGTATGCAAGCTTAGATGCACAGACCCAAGCACAGATGGATGGGTGGATGAATATAGAGACACAGTGATAGCTAACTCCTTTGAAATATGACTGCATTAAGTAGGAGGAAGAATCATCCAAGCTTACTTTTGGTTTGTTCTCACAGAACCTCATAAACAGCTTAAGTCTATAGTTACAAATCTGTATAACCATCTACTGCATAGTTTCAGCTGTGATGCACAAATAACTTAATAGGTTTTGAAATTTCAATACAGACAGTAAATGACTTTATATCCTACCTTTCCCTTGACAGCCTCGACATGTTTTTTCAGACGATCCATAGTATGTTCATTGATAACATAGCAGTCAGTTTTGTAATTCTCACCTATCAGATAGAAATCATCATATACCTTTATCTACTACTGATTACATTTGAAACTAAAAAATGCAGTTTTTATAGACAGGTATTGCCTTAACGGACAAGTGGTTTTGTTATATACAGATGGCCTTTATAGGCAGGTAGTTTGTTATATACAGATGACCTTCATAGACAGGAAGTCTGTTATATACAGATGACCTTCATATGCAGGTAGTTTGTTATATACAGATGGCCTTTATAGGCAGGTAGTTTGTTATATACAGATGACCTTCATAGACAGGTAGTCTGTTATAGAGGTGGTCTTCAAAGCAGGCTCACCAGCATTCATCTTCAATATTATTCAATAATATATATTTTAGTATCATTTGGTTTATATTTACACCATCAGAAATATTACATTAATGGTATGGCGGCTGTGTTTCTTTATAATTTACACTAAGTCTGAACTAGCTTAATAAGAAAAAGAAAACATAACAAAACAGGAAAAATGTGATAGAAAATACCTGAAGCAGAGAGAAAGTAGAATTTGATGTGATCAAAGCCATACATAGAGAAATGTATCACATGTATGTTGTAGGTGTGTATAACTGGCAGATTCTACCCACTTACCAACTTTGTGGAAGTGTACAGCTTCTCCTGCAACCTGCATAAAGCTCTTCACAGATCCGTCAGGGTTCATGACTGAAACATGCAACAATTTATTGTGGATATGACTTTTTCCTTAAATCGCATTAACACCTTAACGCTAGATTTTTTAAATAATGATAAGTTACACTTCTTTTAGACTGAATGTTTATAATCTGGCCTCAGAATAGTTTTTAGTTTTAAAAAGAATATGATTTATTTCAACATTACATACAGGTTTCTGTCTGTGGTTCCTTGGTCTGAGCTTCATTTTGCTTCGTTTTTTCTGCCTGAAGAATATAAAAAAAATGCTATCAAGAAAGAAAGTTCCCAAACTGTAGGGTGATAACCATTACAAAAAAATTTTCAAATGTATTACTGTAAAATTCTTGGAAAGCAATCTTATTTATTTCAAACATGAAATTTCCACATGCTAAAACCCTACTACACATGAATGTTTAAAATCAGAGAAATGTGATGACATTTATACATTAATGTACCTTTTTCACAGCTGGTTTCTGTCTGTCAGCCTCTGTCTTTGGTCCCAGTAAATGTAACACCTGGTAAAGTAATATAAATTGTACTGAACTGAATTACTAAAGGTTACTTTGTTCATTACAATGGTATATAATATAATTAGGAATATGAAATCATATATAAAATAAAATAAAAAAGGACTTTGTTGATTACATTGTTATATATTGTTAGGAATATGAAACCATATATAAAATAAAATAAAAAAAAAAGACACTGTGTCTTGCAACTTTCTTTTTAAAAATAAACACTACTGAAATTTCTGTGTGACCATCCCCATAAAGGATACAATATCTGTCTATAAAACTCTCTGGTCTATTCGTTCTAATTTTGCTCTCTTTCTAATGATTGACTTCAATCTATTTGCTGCTAACATTAAGCAATCAACCTACAATATTCTTTAAATATCAAAGGGAAAAGATTAACTCAAACATGATAAAGGCGAAATATTGTCACTTGTCTTTATGTTAATGCTGGAGAGTTTCACTTTGACTTATTTCTTTGTTAACACTTTACCTGCATATCCACTTCATTTTTTATCATTTTCCCATCAGCAAACTTGAGTTTGGCCCTTGCTTCACCTGAAATAACATTAAAGTCAGCCTTTTTGATAAATACATATGTGTTCATGTTCAAGTGATGTTAATTGAAATATCTGAAAGAAGAAGTGAGAGTGATCCTGTAATTAAGCACAGTCCCGTCATTATAGTTATAGTGGTAGATGATATTATCTTTGAAGACAAGGAAATTTGGATATCTGGTAATTGAATTTGATACTGGTAAATTTCAACATCAAATATAAGATGATCATTCAATATTCAGACCAGTGTAAGGAACAAAGAGACCTCTTTGACTAGCTGATATGTTAAGCGCTTCAACTACGATATTTCCGGGTTATCATCTGCGCCACTATATAAGCCACAAAGCCAGTTTTAACAATTTTTTCTATTTGATCCACATAGTAGCCACACCAGTTGTTGATATAACAGAAGGCAATTTATCAAGATCATGAGTGAAACAATGAAGTTTGCAAATGAATTATACAAAGATAATCCTTTATTTTATTGATGTGTTTTAAAAACATAAAATTTGCAATTATTGAAATCATTTTGCTTGGGAGCCTCCAAAGATTGCCTACGTACAGTTATAAGGCCTCATATTATGCACGGTTTACTTAACAATATTTCAGTCAGTGTCTGCACAGTTACACATGAGCAAAGGCCCTGACAAAATTCTTATAGTCCCAGATTATTTCTTGTAAGTTACATAAAGCCCTTTTTATCATGAACAAGCATGGCAGTTGTGCTTGAATTTGACCTATAACCTGTTGATCTATTGATCCCAGGATGCAACAGGCTAGTGTAAACTTCTGTTATGGATTCTGAAGCAACCACAAAAAGTTCAAAAGATATTATTTTGATTCACATTAAAAAGTATGATTAATTAAATCCACAAGAATGTTATTCTTATTTCAATCTTAAGATCACTGTGTATACGATTGAAAATGACGGTTCTAGATGATCTGTTTCAGTCACAAACACGTTATGGACAGGTACTTGTGAAAACCTTGGTACCATCTCCTACTGGTATACTGGTATGCTTCATTTTTTTTTTGGTGCTGATTATTTTGTCCAAATATAAGCAACACTGGTATATAAGCTGCACACCCAACTGCCAAGGAAAAAACATTTGCGGAATATAATCCAGAAAAATTGGTATATGTAAAAAGTTTTATAATTTATATATTTACTCACCCATTAAAATACCAGTGCTGAAGTTGTAGCGTTTTTCTAGAAGTTCTGACTTGTACTTCTCCATTACTTCTTCCACCTCAATGAAAACAATGACACAATTCAATATATCAAAATCAACAATGCAAAAATAAATATTATACATATAATAAGAGCTATAACAGGCAATTTTTCAAATTCATCATTGGGTTTGCGGATTTGCAACAGGCAAAATGTATCTAAAATAATGATGTAGGTCCTGAAACTTTAAATTTGAATTATGTATGAATTTTGTGTAGAAAAACTCTAAACTATTTCTGTAAGACATAAATGTTCTACTCCTATGCAAACAAGAATGGGATGAGGCGTATGTGTAGAACCTGACATTTTGAATACGTATTGGACCATAGATGTACAAATACCAATGGTTTTTAGTGCATTATGATTTACTTTTCAACAGGTCTTCATATCTTAATGACTTAAAGTGACTCAGGTTTAAATTACTTACTGCTTCCTCCACCTGTTCTGGTGTGATTACAATGCCCACTCCACTCTCCTGCTCCAGGCGTGTGGTATCAACAGGAGGTAGTGGGTTATGTAACAGATATTCCATGGCAGCTGAAAAAGTTACATCAGCAATAAGTTATAGACAAGATAAGACTAAATCAAGTACCATCACTATGAGAAGGATGTTTTTCAGAAAATTGGTAGATCGATAACTCGGGGGGAAAAACAGAATTAGTTAAGTTACTTACAATGATAAGCAGAGTAACATTACATTTTAACACTACTTAAAATTGTTAATAAAAAAATTAACATGAAATATATTGTAATAGACACTATTATAGACACTTAAGATTACTGTCATTATCACAAAGTACAATTGTATATGGGCCAAAAGAGAACACGCTTAGAAGGTATATGTGCATGTATGGACTGTCACCATGACTCTTGATATTCAGTCTTAATATAGATATCCCTATGATGTATAAACATTTAAGATATTTCAATATGACTTTATACGGGGAAAAAATCAGGCATTTGGAGAGACCCAGATAAAAAATACTTTACCATTAAGTTGAATTTCGGTGGTGATTTTTTTGGTGGCAATATAATTGACAAGGAGACTCTGGTGAGACTGAATCTGTTTCTTGAGGCGAGTGGCCACATTGTAAAGCAGCTTGCCAACATCCTTATCTACTGATGACATCCCACATTTTTTTGCCTAAAAGAAACATTGCTTTCTTTAATAACATGAATGTATATGTAAATTGTGTTCTCCACGTGTGGTAATCCCTTTGGTGACATTGTCAAACGTCCGATATAAATGAGTTTCAATGAGGAATACTATAATCAAATGACAGATAAACATTACTAATACAAGCTTGATAATCCAAAAGAATGTATGTTCTTGGTTAAGCTAATGGGTTAATGAACCAAAGCAATGAAGCAGCCAGTAATCAAATAAAAATGGCCAGTAAATCGGGATAATTTGTAACAAAACTTTTGAAAGTCCGTTAGACATGTTTTTTTCATATTGTGGTGCAGCTTCAAATAAATTAATTAGGGTACATATCAATAAAAAAAAGCAACCAGTTTTAGTCAAAACGAGAAAGGAAACAAATTACGCAGGGAAACGAAAACGTAAACAATATGTCAAATCAATTCAGTACACATGATTGCATCATTGACCAAATCCGACTTTCGTTTTAACCCAACTTAGGTACTGTGTATATTTACGCACCTGTTTGAGAAAACAGAGAATAACCACATACCTGTTCTATTGCTTGCTTCAGAAGCTGTGATACTTGTTCATTCTTAATAGTTTCCTTTGCTTTCTGCTCACTAAGGCCGATACCGGTAAACAGCGAAATGTCTACAGCAGCCATCGTTGTAACAGAGCAACGTGCTTCCTGTTTGAAACGCATGCGCATTACTGCTACTCATAAGGTTATCTCCCTTTATATGTTTCTCTTTCAGACAGGAAGTTACAGAGAGGTTACATCATAACTGATAATACCTACCTACACTAAGCACACTATTATCTAAATGATTTCATCATGCTACTTATTTGTTTATTTTTAACAGCTTATATCACAGGGCTTATTTCATATACATGTATCAATTATCGACCAAGACAAAAATAAAATTTCGAATAGATAGTCACCACCATTCGGACAACTGATCAAGAGCAGAGACGGTACAACACGGGCGTCAGTATTATGATAAGCGAGACATTTAGACGGCGTATTCCTGGTTTTTGTTTTGTTATGATTTTTATTAGATCTTTTAGAAGGAGTTCGACCGTTAGGGGCCATTCTATTCGTTTATGTAAACGGACCGAATTCCTGTAGACTGTATATGTATATCCAGAGACGTACATCACATCTGGTAACAGTTTAATGTTTGAAAAACAAACTCCAATTTTCAAAATAAGTATATATATATATATATAGTATAAAAAAGAAAAATAATAATAACAATTAAATACTTAAGCATGATACATGTAAGTTTTTTTTTATCTTTAAATGGCGTGAGCCTTAAACAGAGGTGTCATTGAGATACCGGAATGCACTCTGGGGGACCAAACTTCAACAAACATGACAGCGACGTTATGACGTCAGCGATTGTATTGTGTTGTAACGAACAAGGAAATTTAAGAAAATTCATAAAATCTCTGTCATATCCGTTGAAGTTTGGAACATTGTTTCTGCGCAGAGCAAATTTTGGCACACGTCATCAGGCAAAATTCAGTGTAATATCAACGGCAAATGAACAAAATTGAACAACAAAATTGTTGAAGTTTTGATGGTCTGATTTTCAATAATGTTGCAGGATAAATAGAATGCAAGGTCGGTGTCATACAATATTAGGCTTGGAACAGAATACATATGAGATTTTAACACACTGACCATGTATTCTTTATACATGTATAATATACATGTAGCTACTTGAACATTGTCTGCGTGGCTGTCTTTCTCCAACATGTGACGAAGTCTTTGGACACATGGCGTTATGACATCACGTTTATTGTGACGTCATACTCTTATTGTCGTCTCCTTAGAAATGTTATGTTTATATCTGACGACTGGTCCGGTGTTGGTGACTGCAGGAACTCGGCCTGTGTTTCCGTTTTGAAAGGATGCGATATGGATGAGTCGTTACTCACCTGTCCGGTTTGTCTGGACGTTTTTCAGGACCCGGTCAATCTTCCATGTGCACACACGTACTGTCGTCCATGCTTGAACGATCTCGTCAACCGCAAACAAGCCGAAATTCATAGAAATAACAATGTAGAGAACGCGCGCCTCCAAAAACGACGCGTTTTGGAGTGTCCCGAATGCAGACAGGTCGCTGTCTTGGACGAGAAAGGCATAAATGGCTTACCAAAGAACTATCTAATCGCCAGTATAGTAGAGAAATTTGCTCCGGACCAGAAGTTCAATGGCCCTTCAGTACCGTGTGATGCATGCGAGTCGATTCCGCCAAGAAACGCCGTCAGGTCGTGCGCACAATGTCAAACGTCGTATTGCAAGTTCTGCTGCGAAGAGCTTCATCCCAGACGAGGAGCTTTAGCCAAACATGAGCTGTTCGACCCCAGGGAGAAGGATACAGATCAACATTTATTCGCTGCCAACGTATTGAATGATCTGTTCTGTGAGAAATGTCAGATCGTGCTCCGAAGGGAAGCAGAATTGGCTGTAGCCAGTCACAAGGGTATGGGTCACACATTGGTCGGCATCAGGCAAGCCATTTCACAACAGATGGTAAGTGTCAAGTTTACACCAAACAAATCATACAAAAAAACAGATAAGTAAGTGACTGCACCTCACCACATCTGCTCCGATGACGTTATACTCCTTGTGTTTTATATCATATGGTTCTTGCTATTTTAGTAGGATAATAACATCATTTCACATAAAGAACGTCCGATCCCTGTGGCTTGACTCTCTTTCTGCAGGAATAAAGAGTTGGACAAGATTGACAAGAACATATTGTGGAGACATTTTCATTTAATGATATTCAAATCATCTCTGTAACGTTGTTTCTCATGATTGTTTCCAACTAGACAAGTTTAAAAGCAAGCATCCTGGAAATGGAGAGGGTGAAACGAGCCTTGGCGAAACAGATTACTGATAAGGAAAGCGAGTTTCAGATCACCAAGGTAAAACACGTCGTAATAGATCACAGTTTAACTATTGAAATAAATTTTGTGAGGTTATGCGTTCCAAAATATGCAAATTGTTTTCGACAGAAAATGTCAGCTCAGGTCCTTTTAAAGTTCGCGACGAAAGTTGGAAAAGCTTCAACTAAACCAATTTCTACATACAATGTATAATGTAAAATTATTGTATTATGTAATAGATACATATTTCGCTATGTTAGTCCGTTAGCAGTTGTGTCCGGGTTACTACCCTTCAGTAAGACAATATAGAAACACCCCTGTGATTTCCTTATCTGATGAAATCGTCTTTGTACGGCGTTAGCTGCTGCCGAGCATTAAATGTATACTATAACTTAGTCGCTGACGGAGGTAGTATGCTCCTGTTACAATGAATGTACACAAAACTGATATTTTCTTTTCTTTTTTTTTCATAAACTGTACTACGTGTTAACTGGTCATACTTATATGTACAGTGACGTGATATTGTTGGCTATTATCAATACAGGAAGCTGAGTGTAGTAAACTGCTGGAGATAAATCGAGAAATGGAGAGAATCACCAAAGTGATAAATGACCGGCAGACGAGACTTCGAGCGGAAACCAAGCTAGGGTTTGCTTCATACTTTATACAAACAGAATCAGAATTGGACAAAGCTCGAGAAAAGCTAATACAGGCTACAGGTCTGATAGGGGAGGGAAAAACACTACTGGAGACCAAGGATCAAGGGACACAGTCGGAACATGTTACGGTACCATATTAATATGTGTGGTTGTCATGGCAACATAATTTCAATCCATTAGATGGTAACAACATACTGTTGGCTGTATGTTACTATGGTAACTATGTTAGAATCACTTGAGTACGAATGTACCAACGGTAATACTTACCGGATAACTCGTTTTTATATCGTCAAACCATGGAAACATTAAAAAATCGTATGCGTGACAACATGAACAGTTTGGGATAAGAAGTTAAGTAATTTTGACAAAGTAAAGAGATTATGTTATCACCCAATCATAACAATAAACATGTCTTGTCATATTTATGATAGAATTGAACTATAATGATGACACAGTTTATGAGTTGCTAACTCCACCACTTTTTGTATGACACTTTAACTACTTGTTGCTTTTAATTAGTCACTTAATGATCCTTTTAATCAATTCATGTTTATTTTGTTTTCAGAATATCATAGCACTGAAGAAAAGGTAAGTGTAAATGCGTTTTTAATTACTTTGTTTCTTTACGAGCCGTAACCGGAACAGCGAGGACATGATACTGTATAATTGATAGAAGATCATTAATATTCGCGACGAAATTATACATTGTTTAGTCGGAACTCCAGTCTGCCGAACATAACTTTGTATTTTTTTCTTCTTCTCAAGAATGGATCAAACTAAAGACAAGTTAGGATTCACTTTCTCAGACACCAATAAAGTCAGCCAACTTCCTGCAACCGTGGACGCCGTTCTCCGCCGAATTCAAAGTGTCCTCCAAGAGGCAACAGCAGGGCAGATAGGTATGTGACGGAGGTGTTTAACGAGATATGTAGGTATCATACGGACGGACAGATCGATATGTGGCGGAGATGTTTAACGAGATATGTAGGTACCATACGGACGGACAGATCGGTATGTGATGGAGATGTTTAACGAGATATGTAGGTATCATACGGACGGACAGATCGATATGTGGCGGAGATGTTTAACGAGATATGTAGGTACCATACGGACGGACAGATCGGTATGTGATGGAGATGTTTAACGAGATATGCAGGTATCATACGGACAGACGGATAGGTATGTGACGGAGATGTTTAACGAGATATGCAGGTATCATACGGACGGACGGATAGGTATGTGACGGAGGTGTTTAACGAGATATGCAGGTATCGTACGGACGGGCAGCTAGGTATGTGACGGAGGTGTTTAACGAGATATGCAGGTATCGTACGGACGGGCAGCTAGGTATGTGACGGAGGTGTTAAACAAGATATGTAGGTATCATACGGACGGACAAATAGGTATGTGACGGAGGTGTTCAACGAAATATGTAGGTATCATACGGTCGGACAGATCGGTATGTGATGTATGAGATGTGTCGGTATCATACGGACGGACAGATCGGTATGTGACGGAAGTGTTTAACGACATATGTATATATCATACGGTCGGACAGATCGGTATGTGATGGACGAGATGTGTCGGTATCATACGGTCGGACAGATAAATGTTTGGTAGACGAGATGTGTCGGTATCATACGGTCGGATAGATCGGTATGTGGTGGACGAAATATATCGGTATCATACGGTCGGACAGATCGGTATGTTATGAACGAGATGTGTCGGTATCATACGGACGGACAGCTAGGTATGTAACGGAGGTGTTAAACGAGATATGTAGGTATCATACGGACGGACAAATAGGTATGTGACGGAGGTGTTCCACGAAATATGTAGGTATCATACGGTCGGACAGATCGGTATGTGATGGATGAGATGTGTCGGTATCATACGGTCGGACAGATCGGTATGTGGTGGACGAGATATGTCGGTATCATACGGTCGGACAGATAAATGTTTGGTAGACGAGATGTGTCGGTATCATACGGTCGGATAGATCAGTATGTGGTGGACGAACTATATCGGTATCATACGGTCGGACAGATCGGTATGTTATAGAGATGTTAAACGAAATATGTAGGTATCATACGGTCGGACAGAT